TAAATATTTTTTATTTGATAAAACTGTCCACCTGGTTCTGTCCTTCCCCCCTTGGGTATTCATTATCGGACCTGTGATTCTCGCGACAAAACCTCCCTTACTGCAATTTAAACCCATTGCTTCTTGTTCTATCATCAGGAGATAAGAATAATTTATCACCCTTCTCTTTATAACCACCTTTTATTTACATGAAGACTGTTATGTCCTTCCTCAGTTTCCTTCTCTTCAGACTAAACAAACCCAGTTGTTCCTGTATTTCCTCATATGTCATGCTTTCTAGAACTGTGATAGTTTTTGCTGCTCTCTGCTAGTCTTTCTGCAATTTTCCACATCTTTCCCAAAATGTGGTGCCCAGAACTGGACAAAGTATTTTAGTGGATCCCTAGTCAGCAGAGTGGAAGAATTACTTCTCATGTCTTGCTTGTAACACTCCTGTTGTTAAATCCCAGAATGTTCCCTTTTTTTGCAACAGTTTTATATTGTTGGCTTACATTTAATTTGTAATCAACTATAACCACCAAATCCTTTTCTGCAATATTCCTCCCTCTGTGTTCATTTCTCATTTTGTATTTGTGCAATGGATTATTATTGTTTCCTAAGTGGAGTACTTTGCATTTGTCTTTATTGAATTTCATCCTATTTACTTCAGACCATTCCTCTGGTTTGTACGGATCATTTTGAATTCTAATCCTGTCCTCCAAAGCACTTGCCATCTCTCCAAACTTGGTATTGTCAGCAAACTTTGTTATTCTCTATGCTGTTATTCTAATCATCGATGAAGATATTGAACAGAACAAGACCTAAGAGAGATCCCTGCAGGATCTCACATGATATGCACAAGGGCTCTTGTGCAAGAACACGTCCACACTGGCATGTGCTTTTGCGCAAGAGCATCCATGGCAGTGTGGACACTCTCTTGCACAAGAAACCCCTGCTGTGCGTCCACACTGCCCTCTTGTGCAAGAGGGCTTAAACTTGTTAGAAAAGAGCATAGCTCTTGTGCAAGAAGCCCTGTCTTCCAACGCCGTACTGTAAATCTTCTTGCGCAAGAGTGGGCGGGCAGTGTGGACGCTCTGCGGGTTCTTGCGCAAGAACCCACCAGTGTAGACATAGCCTCAGTATGGTTCTCCAATCAGTTGTGCACCCATCATATAGCAGGTTCATCAAGACTATATTTCCTTAGTTTACTTATAAGAAGGGCACGTGAGACAATAACAAAAGCCATATTAGAGTCCAGATATCACATCTACTGCTTCTCCCTATCCAGAAGGCTTGTTACCCTGTCAAAGACAGATACTGACTTGGTTTGAAATGATTTGTTCTTGACAAATTAATGTAGACTGTTAATAAAATTGTAAGTATCTTCTAGGTGCTTACAAATTGATCTTTCATTATTTTCTTCATTATCTTTCCAGGTACAAAAATTAAGACGATTGGGCTATAATTCCTTGGGTTGTCCTCATTCTCTGTTTTTATAACTAGGCATTCTATTTGCTTTTTCCAGTCCTTTGGAGCCTCTCTTTTACTTCACAATTTCTTAAAGATTATCACTAATGGCCCACAGATTTCTTCAGCTACTTCCGTAAGCATTTTAGGATGTATTTCATCAGGTTCTGCAGACTTGAAGATAGCTAACTTGTCTAATTTCAGAGCAGAAGCCATGTTAATCTGTTTCAGCAAAAACAAGGAGTCTGGTGGCACTTTAAAGACTAACATTTATTAGGGTAGAGCATAGCTTTCATGAGCTACAACTCACTTCCTCAAATGCAGAAAAAAAGCATAGCTTTCATGAGCTACAACTCATTTCCTCAAATGCAGAAAAAAAAACAGAAGGGAAAAAAAAGGATATAGAGTTGGGAGTGTGAGATCAGTGCTAATTAAATCAGAATGAATTCGGCTCATTTCCAACAGCAGTGAGAAGACAAGAGTACCTGAATGGGAAATTACCTCTTGTAATAAGAGAACCACCCTAACTTGTCTAACT